AGATTAGTTCTATTTATGCGGCGAATGAGTTTGTGAGATTAATCAGTTTGTTTAATGTAAAATCCACAACAAATTTCCCATTTGTTTCATCGTAGAGAGCATTGACAGTATCTATAGCCTCCATGAACAGCTTCCTCCAGGATCGGAAAGGTCAGTGGGCCCGTTACTTCCCTTTTGGATTCTGGTATGAGTGGAGGCATCTAGCCATGCTGGCAATCCCAATAATAAGTTCTGGAACTCACAATAACAAAAATAAATAATAACAAATTCTGATTTTCGCAGATGAAAACACAAATAAAGCAAATATTCAACAGACTAATCCAGAGACCAATCTTCTGTGCTAAATCAAGAAACCCTTTCATCTCAATTTTTCTGATTGTCGGCATGCAGATCTTGTTAATTCTACTATATTTCCAATAATTTATTCAATCCATTTTTATATACAATGCGTAATTTTAAGCATTTCCTTTAGACAGTGCGAAAACGCAAGTATGGCACAAATTTCTGTTTCCTAATTGTTGCCTCGGGCTTCTCTTATTCGTTTTTCAACTCTTCCATGGTGACGAGAGCGCTACTTCATTGCAGTAGCCACAATAATTCTCACCGTGGCTTTTTCAAGTAGCATATAGAGAGCAGCTCGGTTTGCTTGGAGTAAAACTTCAAGAACGTGCCTAACCTTCGTGTCTGCAAAGTATCTGAACTAATGTCAATGGAGACTTTTGAGGGCAAGAGAAAGGCAGCTGTTGTCAAAAAAGCCTTCTCTGCTAAGCATATGCACACAGATCTCTAATAAAGACGCACGGCGTTCCTAAATGGATTTGTCGAACTTTTCATATTTGCGATATTTTAGATGTTGACAAGCATGAGCAATTATGCCATAGTGACAGTTAGTCTTTTTTTTCCTTGGTAGAATGGGAAAGACTGAACTGGCTGCTGGTGGCCTCGCAATTTCCATTTTTCATATCGCAGGACTTTCAATAATATTTGGGCTCTTTATGGCTACTATAAACCCAACTTTCACAGGTATGCCACACTATTAGTCACTTACCTACTCAAGTGTTTTTTAGGAGGGATTGGAACCCATGTAGGATTTCAGATTAAGTTTAGTTTACCCGAATCTTGATACTGTGAATACCTTTACTGTATTATAATCAAGAGGTCAAATCACCAATAAAAATATTTTTCTAAAATCATAACTGAATTAGCATGGTCAATTGTCCATCTGCAGCCGAAATTTCACTCCTTATGCACTACAGACATTTGGAGGATCAAACAAATTTCGCCTTAATGTTCAAGTTCAAAGAGGTTTGTTAACTGAGAATGATATGATGTATTCATCGACCTCTGTATATCCCTATAAGAGTGCGGATTCGAAACAGTGATAAGAAACTACTGAGTAAACAGAGTCTAGGTTTACTGTCTGTTTGAAATGCCTTAGACATTACAAAGTCTGGATCCATTTCTAACCATTCCTTTCATAAACATGTTTTATTGCCTTCTAATTTCCATTTCGTTTTTTTTGTGTATTTTGCCTGCCTAATAGTGTAATAGCATTGAACCCTCATGCTGTAGGTATTTTTGCAGTATAATAAATTTAAAGCCAATTCCAGACTGCGGAATAACTTTACACATATAAATTGTGCAAATTTTTGTTTGATGTCTTAGAGTCTCTAACTAAAATTCAGCCATCGTAACTTTGACATTTTGCTGCTTCCCGTGCTGGGCGGTCTACATTATCATTGAACCCATTCTGCTGGCTGTCAGCCAGTGGCTAAGTAAGACTGTGTTGACATTAATATTTAACACAAACTACTCCATAGCTTACATAGCCAAATGTTAAAGAACTTGCTTGCTGGTTGTAGTGATTTGTAGCAGAAGTACAGCCTTTATAAGTTGTAAAGATATTTAGAAGTAGTACGAAGCACATATTTTTTACTTGTTAACTCACCGAAATATATATCTTGACTGCAACATATTCTAGCTTAAGCAACGAACAATTTTGCCGCATGCTCTCACTTGTTATGTTTAACTAAGACTAGCATCGTGCACCATTCTTTGAACTTTATTTGATATGTTTGTGATCATAGGTTTAGGTAAAATGCTACTTACCTCACAGGTATACTGGAAACTACCTCCTAGGACTTATATCTGGACTATTCGTAAGTTATGTTTTCGCTACCAAGTCAATGGATTTCTTTAGTTCGCAACAATAATTGAAATTTTTACTAAATACGTCCAAGTTCGGGTAGGTCAAGCCGAGTGCTTCTAGTTCCGATTTTCGCCTCGCTGATACATTCATCTCATGCTTTTAGAATAAGGTCTATCCATCCCTTCTGGCAAGCATAATTGGGAACTGTGCTAGTGCAGGTGCTCACTACCTCTTCAGTTTCCACAGCGACTTTGGATTTGTGTAGGTCTGGAATAACCAATTGAACTCACTTTTAAAAGCGGCTAAGATAGGCACCTTTTGCACATTTAGCCGCATTTTGAAAGAAGCCTTAGATGTTAATAAGTAATCCTGAGGCTAATCCCAAGTTTCGAAAAAATGTGGTCCTTCGGTTTGAAACCATTTGTTCTGCAGCAAGGATGCAACCTAAGATAACGTAGGAGTGGGTATGCTTTATTGGCATAAAACTTTTCAGTTCACTACTAATTTATATCTTTTCTGCAAATTTAGTTTTACTCAGGTTAAAAGGGCTTGCTATATTCTAGTCAGTCAGTTCGATATTGCTGGAACGTGACCGATATCCTTTTCTATCCCCACATTTTTCAGACCAATTTTAAGTGCGTGCAATTTGCTCGCCTCTCATGGGTGGAAAGTTAGCAAGAAATGAAAGAAACAATAGCATTGCAGATACCATAGTTTCGAGCCACTGGGATGGTCACAAATAAAGTTTGTCTATTCTTATACTAATCAACAAGTCTGTTTCTTCCAAGCAAGGAAAATTCGGATTTTCGTAAACAGAATTCCATCATTTTGCTGAACTCGACAGCTAACTCACTCTTTCGTTGAATCATAAGCCTGCATGATGCAACGAATTTTTAATGTCTGCTTCCCCCAGTATCATGGCGAACTTTTTGGATTATGTCCTTGTTTTACAGTTATTGTTCCACCAGACTAAATAGCAGATTATTTTGTTTGCAGACAACTTATTCAAATGGCTGCCGACGGCCTTATCGTCATACCGTGTTTTCCTTTTACTGACCCGATAGTGGCAAGCGATTGCGACCAGCAGCATGCTTTGCCTTATGCTGATTTCAGATTTTTTCTTGCTCAAGATTAACTCGACTGATTCAAAACCCCATGATGTTATAAATTTGGTAATTGGCACTTCTCTTAAGGCATATTGGCAGCCTGTTGGGAGTAAGAGCTACTTAGCTGTTTAAACTTCTGCGCATATTAACCAAACTACATTAAAGGGTACCGAAAGCGGATGGATTATACATAATTTTTAATTACCGAAAAGTGTGGATAGTGCATAGCAGTTAAAGGACAATTTCAGCATATGTCAAAATTCTATTCACTTGCTTAAATGAAATTGGTCGAAGTACCTGGAATGAGGTGGTTAGAATTAAACATTTGTTTGAAATACAAAATCGTAAAGACGAATGTGTAAAATTACTCGACAAAATAAATATGGCATTTCTTTAGGGGCATTAGCATTAAACTCTAAAATAGCTTTTTTCCAAAGGCTGCATGCTCGGGAATCATTTGCGGAGTCGGAATGCAACGAACTGGTGCCATCGTCTCTGTGGTATGCATGTACTTTATTGGAGGACCAATGGGTCTCTGCCTTCCGATGTTGACCAACCTTAGCGTCTCCGGTGAGTTTACTTGGCCACATGGACATGCATTCCGCTTCATTTCTGTCATCAAACCCCAGTCAATGATTGAAGGCAGGTTGTGCAAAAGAAATCATTTGATTCTAGACAAGAGAGAGCATTGCTTAAACAATTAGGGTTCGGTGATTACAAGGCTTTTAGTGCATCATCGAGAACTGTTGG